ATACCTTGCTCTTAGGATTAGAAAATGGTGAAAATATGTCTTGTGTATTAGTATCATAATTATTCCAAGGTTTTTCCTAAACTGTAGAGAGTGAAAAATGGATTCAGAGAGGGGACAGTAGTATAGACCTCAGCAAATGTTTAACTCCTTCCCTACTGTCCCAGCCCCTTCTCTGTGTGTTCATGTACAATTTTGCAATATTTCTGCTTTAGATAAAATGAATGAAAAGCAGAGATTGTTCTTGCTCTTTCTGGCAACTAACTTTACAGTTTTTAACAAGAGAGTCAGAAGAGAAGCATTGTAAACTAAAAGGGAAATAACACATACCTTGGTATTCTGGTTTACATTGGCTGTGAGCCAACCAAATGGAATACCCATGAGCAGAATACAGAAAGTTTCAGAAATTAGGGGGGAAAAAATCTGTGTTGTTATTGTGCATTAGTCCTTTGATCTGATTAACTATTATAATTATATTTAAATATATAAATAAAAAATATAGATGATGCAGTCATGAAAAACCCTTACTTTATCTGGCATGAAAATAAAGGGCACAGTATCTTCAAGAGTGCCCTCTTTCAAGAATAAATTGGTCATTAGTTATAGTGAATTCAAGCATACCTTATAAACAGTATGACATTTATGGGGATTAGGTTTCTGGTTCAAACAGGATTGGCCACTGTGTGATAGAGGACATTATATTAAGAGGATAGATTTTGAATTTTACAACAAGGTTTGTACTCATTAGAACCTTGATAACTCCCACTTTTCTCTTGATTCCCATTGTTCAGAAGCAGACAGCATAAATACTTCTAAATCCCACAAATGGACTTCCATACATGAATTTTTTTTAGTCTATAATTAGAAAAGTTGTTCTTGCAGATAGTAATTCCTCAATCCCTGTATTACAAGGCCCTTTTTTCAGTAAGGCAGTTGCCTAATGAGATAACCTCTGTGAGCAGAGGCTGTTCATGTAAGTAGAGGTTTGATGGTTCAGGCCCTTGCCTATTAATGACCCTTCTTGCAAAAAAATTTATTGTCCCACCAGTGTTTAAATTTAGCACTTGATTGCATGTAGAATAATGCATGATCCCTTTTTCACCAAGATTGATGTCATCATTTGCCTGCCAGACCGAGCACTCCATGAATGCCAATAACCCTGGCAATAATCTGCTATCTCCCCATGGGATTAAGGCCATCTGTGTGGAAGTCTTCCAGGACTTTACATACTCCCACTACAATAGGTGAAACCCAGTGATTTAAACATGGTTTGAAAACATAGGACTGTAGATAGAATGGATTTTACCGCCGAAATAAAATAAAGTTTTTGTTTCATATGCACTGGTAGGTCAGTTAAGGTCCTGCAAGGATACTAGAGGTGTCCTTCAGAGATTCTGAGCTGCAATAGTTTTACTTTGGCTGACAATTCTGCTTCCCAGTCTACCCAGATCAGAAGCAGATATTCTTTTTCTTTCTTTCCCCCACACCTCTTAGAATACGATAGTCTGGGTGGTATGGACTCACAATTTTTTCAGTTTCAGGAGACGATTCTTTATGAAGTTTAAGGACAATTTTCCATATTCATTTTCTATTCTTACTTTTGAAAAATATTCTTTTCTTGTTCTAGTAAAGAAGAAACCTCCCACATGTGATGGTGAGAATTTAAAAAAAGAAAAAAAAAGGATGCATGTGATGCCGACTGAGGAAGGTTACTGGGCCTTTGCAGAATTCAACTGGGTGTTAAATGGTTCTAGGAGTAGAACATAGATCCAGACTATGAAGAAATAAGTAGACAACCTTGAGCTTGCCTGACCAAATGCACAGTTCTAATTATAACATCAGAATTCTAAAGCTGCATATGCGTACATCTACTAATGCAAAGTGGATCTGAGTAAATTTATTGCAAAGGGATGAAAGAAGGACAATATTTTAACAGTAACTATGCACTAAAAATTTCATAAAGTTTACTTTATTCATTAGCCAATAATTTTAGAACAGCAGGGTCAGAGTAATGACCTTCCACATTTAATATTTTTGCTTTTCTTAATAGTTTACAGAGTTTTCAGGGAATTTGGAGGAGCAGACTTTGAGTATATTTTTAAATAGAGAGCATGGCTAGTGGTTGGTGAAACATCAACTAACTGTAGCAGGTCATCCCATGGGCCAAAGGCAGAGCAGTCCTCACCAATGTTCATGTGATCCATCTGTAAATGTACAGAGTGTGGAACAGCAACGCTACAAAAGGGACACAGGGTAACAGCCTGGCAGCTGCTCTCTGCAGACAGAAGGCTGGGAGTGAAGGGATTGAATCTGGGATTTTCAGCTCCAGGCAGCATGTCTCAGCCTGAGACAGGAGATTTTTCTTGTTCATTCCATGCACATAACAACCCTCCCTCTCCCCATAATATCCTGGCTTGGTTCCAGGGAGGAAATCTAAGAAAGCTGGGCCATTTACCTCTAGCTCTACTAGAAAAAAATCCATCCTCAGTCAACTCCAGCTCAGTGTGCTGTTCATCAGCAACTCACATAGCTCAAATTTTGCCCAGGGCCTTTTACATATATATATATATATATATATATATATATATATATATATATATATATATATATATATATATATATATATATATATATATATATATATATATATATATATATATATATATATATATATATATATATATATATGTATAAATTTTTTTTTGGTCAACTACTGTGTGATGAGGGAAGTTAGCAGCACTCATGATTATTCTGTTCTGCTGTTATCATCTCCTGGCCCCTGAACATCCAAGGGATCTTGGTTTTATCCCCACTTTTCCACTATTGCAATAGTAAAAAAATCTTGATACCAGCTGCTGGAAATGCATTTTTCTTGCATTTTCTTGCATTGTTGCACAGCTGAAAGTCTTTGTGGATAGCCTTGTTCTTTCAATTTTTCTTTCACCTTGCTTGTGGCCAGGATTTTAACCACTTCTCTAACAGAATTTTGAATTAAGTTTAGAAATTTTATTTTAAAACAAAATTAATTTTTACTAGCTTTGTAGCACTTCAGCTTTTTTTTTTTTCTGAGGCTGTAGTTTGAGGTGAGGAGTGAGAATATTAATTTTTTTATTAGAGCATCATCCCAAAACTTCATAAGGACAAACTTTCTTCATGCCCATACCTTCTAAACTAGGACCAGAAATGTGAAAGTCCTATTATATGAGGTGCTGTGCCCTGTAGTCAAATCCAGCCCAGGGTACAAGCACCTGCTCATGGGAAGGGTAAAATTAAGTGTGTCATTAACTGCCTGTTGGATTGGATGGAGCACCTTGCAGCAGCAGCCCCTCACAGGGGCTTCTTTCCCTCCTTCCCAAAAACCTGTGTGTCAAACAGAGCTGCCCAACCTGCAAATGCCTCTCCCATGGCAGGAGCCCCCATCTCTGATCATCTTGTGAAACAGAAAAGGCTCTGACACACGGATGAGCTCAAGGTTTTCCCTCCATTGTTCCTGGCATTTACCTGCTGTCATGCACAATGTGCTTGTGAATAATCCTTTTGTACAAAAATAGCATTGTTTCAGAAGTGCTTATTTTACCAGCGGTAATCAGCAAGAAAGCAGTTGTTTACTGAGATTTCATTTTAAACTTGCTTCCTTCACCACTGTGTTTATTAGACTCTGCTGGAGAACCATGTAATCTTTTATTACTGGGCTCTTCGGTTTTCTCTCTGTATCTTTCTGCTAAGTTTTATTATACTCTTTGCCATGTCAAGTCTGAAATTAGACCAGAAACACATTGAGAAAGCAACTGAATGATCTGATTTTAATCAAGAGGTGCTCTGAGAGAACATAAAACTCTCTCCAAAATAAAATAAAGCCAACTGGAGCATCTGGAAATAAGGAGAAAATATCAATGCAATAAACACTCAACAAAGTTGGCCAGTTTTTTTAAGGCTCTACAGGAACATGTTAGGATGTAGTAATGTCCTTGCATGATAGCAGGAGGCTGATTAGCTGTTTTGTACTCCAAGAAAGTATTGAAACCATAACTTTTCTTTGTGTGCTTAGGTAAGACTACGCCAAGGAATCCTGTTTCCTACTTCTTCTGACCTTCACACTTCAGCAGTTAAAATCAGGTCTCTAAATAATTGCTATGTTGCAAATATTTTTCCTTGCCTTGAGGAGCCCAGGACCAAAGCTTAGCTAATCTACCTCTCACCACCTTTGTGGGTCACACTGGAGAAGCATCAGTGTACAGAGGAAAAGCTTGGAAAGCAAAGGGAAAACTGAGTTGACAGAACAGAGAAGGCTGAATTTACAGGGTGGGGGAAATCTGGCAAAAATTAACATTTTTATAGGAGAATGTGTTTTGTAGAACTAAGAAGTGCAGGTGGAACATAGGAGGCACAGCATAGAAGTGACAATCATAAATAGCTATTATTTGAGGAGTAATGTATAAGTGAGAAGAGAGATTTCAAGAAATTGAAATTGCATAACTGAAAATTATACAACATAAAAATATCATTTGTCATTTCAGTCACAGGCCTATGCAGGCATAGTGCTATATGTGGTTTCAGCTGCTCTAGTTAGAGAAATATGTAATAATTCTTATAAGAATGCACATTTGAAAATCCCATAAACTGTGATAGCAAGAAAAAAACAGAGAAATGTTAGAGTATTTCTCAGTTAGGCAGGTATCATCTTCCACTATCAATCCTATGTGTCATATTTAGTCCACAAGTTTGAGGAAGAGGACATTTGCCACAAAGTGTGTTTTAAAGGGCAAAAACTCTCAGGAACAGGCACCAGGAGAATGGGATGTCCTCCTAATAAGGGGAAATGTAGAGACACAGCTGAGATGGGATGAAAAGCTGTATTATGTGAAGTCCTTAGGGAAAGAATAACAGGGGAAGGGAAGGGAAGGGAAGGGAAGGGAAGGGAAGGGAAGG